GAAAAAGGCGCGCCCGATCGGGCGGCCCTTTGCCCGATTGGGCGAGCGTTTTTAGAAGACCTGATTAAGTTAGTTTTAATTCTTGTTTTAGAAAACGTTTAAATACGATTTTGTACGGAATTTTTAGATTACCTTCTTTCTTAGACTTTCTCTCTCTACTTAGTATTTTTCTCTCTCTTAAATTCTCTCTCAACTTTTGTTCTTAATTATTCCATTAATTCCAGATTTCTTTTTGGTAACAATTTCTTCTCTTTTAATTTCAGCTATTTTACTTGCTTATTTGATTATACCTTTATTTGGTTATTTTATTAGTTTAGTTATGATGATGCGTGAGTAATTTCATTCTAGGGTTTATGGGGATCCATAATTAATATGAAGGGATAGTTTGTTATTATTGATTATTGATATTGCATGATAATTTCTTATTGAATTGTTTTAATTCTTTGCAATTAGATTATGAATCGAGCAGATGTAATTTGATTGTGAATGTTTAGCTATATTGAATTGATGAATCGAGCAGATGTTAATTTAATATCAAAGGCTATTTTCAATAAGAACTTAGATCTAGTAAATTGCGAGAGCCTGTTAGATCTATGTTGATTAGTAAATTGCGAGAGCCTGTTAATCATGTTATTTGTGCATTGTTAATTATTAATTACTTCGTTCTATCCCGGAATATTTATTGTTGGTGAACCTGTGACCCTAGGCTTCCTTATTATTATTTCTCTTCTCCATAAACTTATTATTCGTAGTATAGAATTTATTCCCTAAAATATTGGTTACTTAGGTAATTTAGACTATAATAATTAATTAGGAATAGAAAGACTCGTTTCTCTGTGGATTCGACCCTACTTCCCTATCTACATTAGTGAGAGGATTTAGGAATTACTTTTGATTAGGGATACGACTTTACCCTGTCAGTAGTATCATCATGATTGTATCAATGGATATGTATTTTTTTTATTTAAATATCATACTTAACATTGATAGTTTACTAACATAGTGCTCGTGCGTTGCCCGATTTATAAATTAAATCACTAATCCCGTAGGAAAAAAATAAATATAAACTATACTATATATTAAAAGGCGTTCCTAAAGAAATTTAGGTGCCACACTGCCACATGACGCTCTATTCTTTTAATCCGATTTTCACTACATATTTAAAAATATGGGTCTTACAAGATTTGAACCCACAACCTCAAGTTTAAATTCCAAAGTGTTAGACATTAATCTATTACAGTATTACCATATTACATGTCATTTAATAAAAATTAAATATTAATAAAGATTTTTGTCATGGAAATAATGTAGCATGTAACTCGGAGCATCGACCGGGCCTAACACTAGTTCGTACTAAAATGAAGTGTTCAATATTTTTTTGGCACACTAGTCTTGTTCAAATATCCAATATGTATCTTTGATTCTTTGATCATCAATATATTAAATTAAGTATTCACAAAAATTATTGCAAGTACAAGTTTATTTGCCAGATAAACGAATTTTAGTTAATCTGATGGCATTTATGTAAATATATTGAAAAAACTTGGTCATTTATTCAATATTTTTGATGAGCTGTCCAATTACTGTTTGCAACTTGCATTTAGGAAATTACACATGTACCCCTCAACTAGTAAATGAAAAGATGCATGTACCCCTCCACTGGTACTTGAAAAGACGATTATACCCCTAGATAATCTGGGGAATTCACTGGGCACAGCTAAAAAATTATACAAATTCGATTTTATTAAACTAAGCAATGAGACGAATCAAATAACGCAAACTATTGGGTGCGTCCGCCCGCACCCAACAGTTTGTGCGACTGTCTTAAAATCCTGGCCCATTTTATTATTTTAAGTTTTTAGAAAAGGCCCAAATAAACTCTCAGCCCATTTATTTCCTTCCCCTTATTCCGCCATTTTCTACTCCATTTTCTTTTTCCAAAAAAACCGTCATATCAACTTTTGCAATTTATTACTATTATTTTCACTTCATTTTCTACTACTCTTCTCTCTTTTCTTCTTCACTTTTGCAATTTCTACCTATTTTTTGTAGTTCATTTATGAAAGATTTCTCAATTAAATATTTTTTTTAAAGAAAATCGTTAAATATGAGGTCAAAAAATGCCAATTGTCCACCATGTAAAGTTACGGAAGAACATGATGACAAGTTACCTCTTTCAAACATTAGGTATTAATGGTTTTTTTTTTCTTTTCAAATTCGTAATTTCTTACTTAAAATGTTTTGATTTAGGTTTTTCACTATATATTTTTAAACTTTGATTCAATTTATTCTTTGTTTGTGTTCTATTAATCGAATTTTCGATTTACAATATTTGAAATTGAGTATAATGTATCTGTTTATTATTTTTAGCATTTTTTTGTTTTTAGGTTTTGATGATTCCGTATTTTGTACATAAAGTTCAATTAGGTTTTTGTTCAAATATTTATGTATTTGATGTTCTTTATTGATTATTTATTTTTATTTACAGAAAATCTAAAGCGCAAAAAGGAACTTCAAAAAGAAAAAATCAAACAGATTCTAGGTATGATGTTTTAGTTTCTTTAATTTCTGTGTTGCTTGATATTTTGATCGTTTTATTTGAAATTTTTTGTCGTTTGAAATGTTTTATTTATTGGCTAATATATTTTTGGTATTGGCTATCTTTTATACAATGTTACTCCATCCGTTACACATTACTCGCAACAAAGGAATATTTTATGTCTAACAAATAAAACCCCTTTGTTGCGAGTAATTTTTAAAGGAGGAAGTTTAAGATTTTTTTGATGACCTGTATATAGTGATATTGATGGATGATATATGTATTTTATTTCCTTATATAAACATATTAATGGCTTATATAATCTTCTTTATGAGCTGTTATATTTGTTTGGTTGGCTGATATATTTTATCAATATTGATGTCTTATATGATATATATATTTTTTTTTGTTGATATACTCTATTTGTTAACTTATATGTTTTTTTTTGTTTTTTTTTTTGTTTTTTTTTTTATGTTGGATGATTTGTTATCTAAGTTAACTTATATTATTTATTTGGTTGTCTGAAATATTGCATTGTTGTCTTACATGTTTTCTTTTTTAGTCTATGATATTACTTTTCCCTTTTTTTCTAATATTTTTCTTGTTTTCTCAGTGACAGTTCTAGTGATGTTCCCAAGGTTGGAAAGAAAAGAAAAATTGAAAATGAACGATTTGATTTTAGGTATTTCTTTTACCATATTCTTGATTCAAAATGGAAATGAGTTGTTTTTTACTTAACATTTTTTTATTGATTTTTTCAGCAATATTACAAAAGATGATTTGTCAGATATTGCTATTGGAAGTCAATCTAGTGCTTCAACAATCACCAACATGGCTAAATGTTTTACTAAAGAACAAATAATAACTTCTGTTATTGATATAGGTACTGTTGGTGATTTGTTGACGATTAATTTATCTGAAGATCTCAACAGAAAATTGTATCCATACTTGGTTTTACATTACTGTAGGGAATATTTCAAGCATTACCCCAAACTTGAACCCCACTGTAATCATATACTTAAGCATGGTGGCGTCCAAAGGGAAAGAAGTTAGAGCAAAAGAGTCGCCAACAAGTTTTAGGAACTTGTAAACCGTTCACGAGGTGAAGGTTAAGTTACACCCCTTAACGATCCAGGAGATCGTCAACTCCAATAGGTTTGGAATCATGACTGGTAGTTCGGGGATGAAGGTACAAATTCAATCTAAAAGAAAAAGAACCTTGCCCTAATAATAGGCCTCTACTTTATTCTTCTCGTATTCATGTGCGCTTTCTGACTAACATGCAATCAATAAATTTACCCTAAACCTGTTTATCTATGTTGGTTGAATATTAATGCACAAATAAATCTATTATTGGCGATCACTTGAATTATAATCAAATTAACCCTAAACAAGATTATTAATTATCTTATTAAGCGTGATTACAAGTACAAATTCCCTTTAAACATGCATAAAAGGCGTGATCAAACAATAACAATAAATATCAAGCAACATAATAATCATAACAATTATAATAATAATCATAATCATGTTAACGCTAATTAAAGCATAAAAATAGCAAGATCCTAGGCATAATACTAACAAGATTAATAACAAACCCTAGCATGTCACTAAACAATAAAGATCAAAGCTTTAGCCCTAACATGATACTAACATGAATATTAGGAAAAGAAAATAGGAAGGCATCGCAGGAATCACAATTGTCATATTTGATATTAGAAATTATAATTATTACCCTAAACATGATACTAGGAACTACCACAAAAATTGGAATAAGTAACACATAATACACAATAGTCAAGTTGGATAGGCGATCTCTACCATTTTACAGATCGCCTAAGTAAGATAGGTGTTTTGTAAATTAAAACCTATAGAGCGCCTCCCCCACTTAACCGTTCTATATGATTTATTATTATTTTAATGAAAAAGTAACTTGTAATTAGAGCGCCTATATTAGTTAGACGCTCTATTTGCTTTTAACATAATAATAAAAAAATCAAAAAAATCCTAAAAAAATAATAATTAAAAGAAACTGAAAAAAAACCCTAGAACTACATTTTGTTGAATCAGCCGCTATGGCCATGTTTGGTAATTGGTTTTTTAATGGCTTTTTGGTTAGCTTTTGGCTTTTGGCTTTTTAAGGTGGTCAAACAGCCAAAAAATGTGTTTGGTAATTGGCTTTTTAGTCAGCGAAAAAGGTGGCTTTTAAGCCAAAATGAAAAAGCTGCTTTGAGTAGCTTTTTTGTTGGCTTGTTGGCCCACAAATTATCTAATAAACAGCCAACAACCAACAATTAATTTACCAAACACTTATATAAACAGCCAGCTTAAACAGCCAATTTCAAAAGCCATTATAAACAGCCAAACATTCCAGCTAGTCAAACAAGCCAAGTGAACCAGTCAACAGCCAACCGCCAATTTCCATTTGCCAAACAAGGCCTATATCATTCATCTCACAAAAAATTTCTTTCTCTCACGTCCTTCTTCTCCTATCTTTCTCTTTAATCCTCTCATCTTCTTCTAGACAATTTCGAACCGATGAACCAAATTGGGCACTCCACATTCACCATTGATGTTTCCTTTAGCCAATGACGAAGTGATGAACAAGGAGCCTCGCGTCCTCCTCCTTAGCCAGAACAATATGATGCTAGGTAACATGTTGCTCTTTGTAATTATCGAATATCAATGTGGAAGTTTTTCTGTTTGAATGTTGTAAATGATGATTGTTTGAGTTGATTTAAGTTTCTGGACTAGATTTTTGGGATATTATGACTGAATTTTTGCGGATTTAGAGATGATTTTGGTTTTTTTTTTTTCGGATCTAAAGTTTTCGATTTTATCTAATTCTAATTTCGATTTTTGATTTTCGTTTTAATCCACAATATGAAGGGTAATCTCATTTGTGTTCGAATTTAATGTTAAAATCTGTTTTTTTTTTAGTGATTAATATGATTTTTATGGGTTTTCTTTTTCGATCTATAGTTCATGATATTTCTTGTTTTGATTTTATAATTTTGTTTTACTTCTCAATTACGAGTACTTTAGATCTGTTTTGGTTTTCATGTTATAAACTTATAACTTTTGATTTTCTCCCGTAAAAAAAAAAAAAACTTTTGATTTTCATCTTTTATCAATTGATTTTTATGTTGGAAATTTTGATTTTTACCACCTTCAAATAACGACTTTGTCGAATTTACCACCTCCAAAAAAAAAACATTTACTTTACCACCTCATAAAAAATTTAAACATCAGTTTTACCACCAATCACCTCCAACTAACGGATTCCGTCCAAAAATCCGTTAGTGGGGCCTACCTTGCACACGTGTCGCCATATTATTGGTTAAGTTTTAAAAAAATAAATAAAAAAACAAAATAAAAAATAAAAAATCCCCATCAAGCAACCGATGGTTGCTGCCACCGTCGGGACCCCCACCGCCGGACCGGCTACGACCAGCCCCACCACCTAACCGTTACAACCAGCCCCCACCACCTAACCGCTACCAGCCACCGTCGGGACCCACAGCCACCGCACCGATTTCGACCACAAAACCCTAGCCACCACCTAATAGCTACGACTAACCCCACCACCTAACCGCTACCACCGCACCGCACACCACAGCCGCGCCGATTTCGACCCCCTTTCCACCAATTTCCGACCTCAAAACCCTAGTCAACACCTAATAGCTACGACCAACCCACCACCTAATCGCTACCACCGCACCGCACACCACAGCCGCACCGATTTCTACCCCTTTCCACCAATTTCCGACCTCAAAACCCTAGCCACCACCTAACAGCTACGACCAACCCCACCACCATCCAAACCCAGACCAGAAACAACCGCCACCCAGACGCGAAACCACCCCGACTCAAAACCACCACCACCCAAACCCAGACCAGAAACAACCGCCACCCTTACGCGAAACCACCCCGACTCAAAACCACCACCACCCACCAGAAACCACGCCAGCCAGACGCGAAACCATCGCGACTCGAAACCACCACCACCCAAACGCGAAACCCACACGAAATTCCGACCAACCGAGGTAGTTAATTTCGTTGCTGGTTGGTTGACATGGAAGATCGGGGAAGATGAAGAAGAAACGTCAAAAATGTGGGCCCTACTAACGGATTCATGGACGGAATCTGGTAGTTGGTGGTAAAATCGATTTTTTGGAAATTTTGGTGGTGGTAAAGTAAATCTTTTTTTTTTTGGAGGTGGTAAATTCAATTAAGTGGTTATTTGAAGGTGGTAAAAATCAAAATTTCCTTTTATGTTTTATAATTTATGATTTTCATGATTTTATCAATTGATTTTCATGTCATAATTCCGATTTTCATCTCTTATCAATTGATTTTCATATAATAATTTCCGAATTTTTTCTTTTATCAATTGTTTTATATGATATAATTGGGAGTATTTTTTGATTTTTAAACTTTTGATTTGCGGGTGTTTGATATGCTGCAGGTTTACTATTTTTGAGGTTGGTGGAAGTGTGATGGCTTGGTTGTGGATGATTGTAGTGGCTGAGGTTGGTGGAAGCGTGCTACCTTGGTTGTGGATGATTGCGGTGCAATTCAAGTCGGTGCACTTCAATCTAAAGATGTTAGCACTTTGATAATTAATAATTAGTTATGTTAGAAACCTTGTAACATAATTTTTATTCCTCTAGGATTGAAATACTTGTATTTTAATTTTTTTTATAAATAAAATGTTATTATTATGGTGTTTTATTTATTACGTATGCATTATTATTATGATTATTATTATTATTATTATACAAAATAATAATAATAATAATAATTTTTTTTTTATTAAAAAAACGAGGAATAGAGAGCGCCTATCTATGATAGGCATTCTGGTTTTATGTAGCTATAAAGCGCCTTTCCAAAGATGACAGCTGTCTTTTCCTTGTTGTTTATTTACTTTGTACCTTAAATATGAAGCGCCTATCTTAGATAGGCGATCTGTTTTCTATTAGATATAGAACGCCTCAAAGAGGCGTTGTGTAGACTTTATAGGGCACCCCCTCAGAAGAACGCCTCTGAGGCGTTCTATATTGCATTTTTAGGCGTTCTATATTCATGTTTTTGTATTAGTGTTAAGATCAAAACACCCTAACAAGACACTAGGAATCATAATAAAAATCTAGAAGTGATTTCTAAGAATCATAATAACAATGCAAACAATTAAAGCACTTACTTGGATGCCTCGTATCTCTTTCTAATAACAAAATACACACGTTAGTAACTTCGAGGAAAATAATAAACAAACAATTAAATTAAATAATTGAAATAGAGATTTGGGACCAAACCCTCAGAAATTAAAACCTTTCACGTCTAGGGCGAAGGCAACTTCGAACTTGGCTAAGTGTTTCTAGATCTTGTGAATGCGGAATTTTGTATGCAAAAGACTAGTTTAGAAAAGAGAGAGAGTAATCAAGAGATTCTTGATGAGAATTGGTGAAAGAGAGAATTAGAGAGAATAAGAATTGATGAGATTTGATGAGAAGAATTGATAGTTGTTGATAAGAGAGAATTGATAGTTGATCATTGAAAACGGAGGTTTTAGGAGGCTATTTATAGAGAAAATCAGCCGGATGTGATAAAAAATTGATCCAGAGTTTCGAAAAGAATAAAACACGATCGCAGCACCAACCACTCGTGTGGCGCCAAACGCTAGATCTGGCGCCACACGCTGGTCCTATCGCCAGACGCTGCAATCAGCTTTTCCACGCGTTTTCTTATTTTTATAAAATTTAATCGTACGAGAGGGCAAAATTGTATTTTCTTCAAAAACACTTCTTTTATTTTGATTAAAACTCTTAAAAGTCAATTAAAGTCAATTTATCAATGCTAATTAAATTAGAAATGAAAAGAACCTTCTAGAAGAATCTAGAAGACTATAATCAATTCTAATCGCATTAGGAATGATAAATCAATATTAGGCCCTCCTCTAGATCATTGGGCCGCATATAAAGATCAAACCGGGCCCACTTTAGTAACTTGGCCATAACTTCCTCATTATTCATCGAAATTGGGCTTATAATATATCGTTGGAAAGCTCTTTTCAAGACCGACCCAACTACACTATTATTGGACACTTTCCATGGACCAAACCAAACTGGATTGGCTGTTTTCTTAAAACAGGTTTTAAAAATAGAGATAAAGAAAAAGAAATAAAATCTAACCGCAACACTAGACTTTCCACACTTTCACTTCATTCGATTATGATTCGACGTGAAAGGTACTCATCACTGGGTTTGGTTTTGGGGAGACACAAATGGGTGTCTACAATTACAATCCTACATCAATGATATTATCTGTTGGAGATCAAAGGATATCATTTAATAGTGTTGATCTTCATAATGTGCTTGGACTTCCTTACACTGTTACACCTCAACTCCTGTCATTGACGTGTCTAAGCTGAAAAATGAAAAAAAATCCTGAAATTGATATAATGAAGAAATGGAGAGATTATTTTGGATACGGTCCTATTGAAAAAAGTGATGATGTTCTTGCTAAGAAGCCAAGGAAAAAGAAGTTTGATTATAAGGCTGGACAAGTTCAATATCAAGCTGAAAGCCTTGTATTAGGTCATTATGTATGATATGCTGGGTTATTTGTTTTATTTTTTGGCATACTTGTTTTTATTGTTGAATTATTTGAGCTGCCGAATACACCAGCTACACTTAACATGTGAAATGGATGCACGATTCCTAGCCTTTCCATTGAATCGATCGTTCTACCACCCGGCATCTGAGAAATATCCGGCATTGTCGGCAGGCGCTCAACCCAAAGGTTGGGGGGTTGCTAGAAACCGTCTCTACTAGCGTCATTCGAAGAACGAACAAGAAAAGGCGGACTGTTTAGGTAGGATAGATCCAACCAAGAAAGGCGTGGGAGTTTTGGGGCGTGTCATCTCAAAGCGAGATTGTTCTCATATATATGACATTTATTAATTCTCTTTTTGTTACCGTTCCCTTGTGTTAGTTAGAGTGAAGTGAAGCACGCATGTAGGGTGGGAACGAAAAAGATAACCTAGCGAGTAAACACCCCGCTTTTGTTTTATTTGTTTGATAATGTTCTTGTCATATTCATTAATAATAGTTTTCCTTTGTTTTTTTAGGTACAATAAAATCAGCCGCATGCTATAGAGAAAACAAAAACAAAGATCCAAAAGAAAATGATGGTATATTATATGTTTTTGATTTTTTTTTTCATTTGACTTATATGGTCTTTTAAATTGGCTTATATATGTTATTTTTTTGGCTTACATGTTTTTAAAGTTGGATGAAAACACAAATGCTATAATGTTCTCTTTGTTGTCTGATAAGTTATGTTGTATTTGCTGATATACTCTATTTATATTTCTTACATGTTCTTTAACTTATTGGCTTATTTGTTAAGTTTATTAGCTTATATCTTTTATCAATTGAGTTACATGTTTTTTAAGTAGGCTTAAATCTCAAATGATATAAGATTAAATGTTCTCGTTGTTGGCTAATTTGTTCTGTTTTATTTGCTAATATACTCTATTTGTTATCTTACATGTGATTTAAGTTGTTTTATTTGTTATATAAGTTAGCTTATATGTTTTATTTGGTTGGCTTACATGTTTTGTATATATTATTAGTTGTTTGAATTATATGTTTTTATATATATTATTCTATTTCATTTGGCTTATATGATCTATTTTTTGCGTTACATCTTTTTTAAGTTGGTAGAAATCTCAAATGCTATAAGCTGAAATGTTCTATTTTATTTGTTTATATATAGTCTAATTGGAATATTTCTCTGCTCATATGTTAATTTTTTTTCCTTATATTATAGGTAAATTAGTGAGTAAAAAGAAATATCTTTCTCTTGATGTTTGGAAGGAGAAACTTATGGAATTCAAAAATGGTGAAGACGAATTTAAGAGGATTTTTATTCTCTTTGCCCTTAAAAATTTCTTACACATTTGAGTGACAAATCTCTAAACCTTAATGCTGTTAAGTGCTTGTCAGATGTTTTGAAGATCAAGGAATTTGATTGGTGTGGCTACATTATGAAGGTGATGTGTCATTCAATTTAAATATTTCATAATTTTCTAGTTGATAAAAAGGACAAAGCAAAAGTGGGCAAAAAATCTAGAAAAATTGTCAAAAATATTGGCGGTTGTCTCCCTGCTTTACTGGTGGTTTTTTTTTTTTCAAATTCATTTTGGAGAGTGGCAAATGGGTGATAAGCTGTCATTCATAAGCAATAATTGGGATTATGAGTCTTTAAATGCTCATAAAGGCACAAAGTAAAGCACTTTTGTTTTTGGTTTAGGAATTGTTAAGCGAGATATTGCTCTATCTTCAACTGTATTACTCCAAAATCTAAAGAAATTGAAAAAGAAGTTTCTTTAACTCTTGAATATAATAAAGGATTCCAAGTGTCCGATGATAAAGATTCAGAGGTGTATGTTCAATACAAGATTCCAAAAGGAGTCAAAACTGACAAGGAATTCAGGCTATGGATATTTCAGTAAGTATATCAGTAAGTATATTTGTTCAATATTATCATACATTAAATCTAGTTAATAACTTCATCTATTTATAAATCTAGTTTGGCTTACATGTTTTATTTGGCTGGCTTATATGTTGTTTATGTTTTTTAAATCTAGTTAATAACTAGTTAATAACTTGTTAGGTTAAAATGTTATTTTTTCCGGCTTTTTTTTTTTTTTTTTTTTTTTGACAAGAGCTTAAACAACAAGAAAAACTAACTATATGACAAAATTAAAGGAGGATAGACTACTTTCGCTGCGGTAGCAAGAACGTGCGCCCTGTCCACCACAGTCCGATCTACCTTCAGAATGGTACACCCATCAAAACTGTTGCTAATTTCCCAAATTCGAGCGACAGTCCATCAAACGGGAACATCTGAATCCTGCGCATCCCGAAGACACCTAACAACTCTAGTAGAATCCGTGTAAATAGTAACTTCCGAAATCGACCTAGCGAGCGCCCACTGTAACCCCGCCAAACAGGCATTCATTTCTGCATGTAGGCTTTTATTTTTTTATATTGGATGATATCTTCTTTATTTTGCTTATATGATTTATTTTCCTGGCTGATACGTTTTTTATAACAATTTTTTGTTCCAAGTAATTTTTTTGGTTGATATGCTCTGTTTCAATTGTTGATAATTTCTATTTCTTAGCTGAAAGGTTATGTTTATCGGCTTATATTGAAATTATGTTGGCTAATATATTATCTTAGTTTTCTGATATGATTTATTTTTTTGGCAAATAAGTTTCTGTAGTCTTATATCTTTTGAGTTTGGCTAACATGCTTTATTTTTCTGGCTGATATGTTTTACTTGTTTGCTTATATGTTTTTAAAATGGAAAATTTGTTCAAAAGAACCAAGAAAGAGGACACTTTTGTTCAGAAGGACCAATTAAGCCAAATGTTGTTTAAAAGGACCACAAAAGACAGTTTGGGTTGTTGAGGGGGACCAAGGTCAATTTTCAGGCAAGTCAACGCCGGACTCCGGCGTTGACCGTCACGTGCATGTCACGTGACTCGTTAATTTCACCAAATTTTTTTTTTTCATTTTCCCACAATTTTCCTCTAATTTTCCAATTAACCCCAATTTAACCCTTTTCAATTACATTCTCTCTCCTCCTTTATTTCTCTAGAAGCATTATTCATGGCATTTCCTCCTCTTGTTTGCCATTGTTAGTGGACAAACTTTGCTATTTT